CAAAAGTCCGATGTCATCTACCGCATCGACTGCCTTTTTGCTCAAGCCAATTATGTTGGTGAAACCGGCAAACGGGTTCTGACGAGAATGCACCAGCACGAACTTGCCGTGGAACGGAATGACAAGCTTTTTACGGTGGAGTATTTAGGACGGATAAATTATTTGTGGAAGGATTTTCCATCGAGAAAGGTTCGGTAACAGGCACAAAGTCCACGCAATCAGATGCACTACCGCAAATGAATTCTGTCTACACAAGCCAGTTAGGGGCCAAACCCAAAGGGCTCACACTCTGTTTGAGCAAATGCTGATCTAACTAAAGCACACAAAAAGGTCAGAATTTAATGGTAATGCTCCTTAAAATCCTAACCTATTATACCTATGGGACTGGGGTATTTGGTGTTTTTCTTAAGTACTGCAGCTGTTTTCACCACATCATAATGTGCGTCTGCACGCTTTTTGGTCACAACTGTAATTTATTTGCCTTCTTTTTCAAAAAAAGGTACCAACGAGAAGGATATTATTGATGTTATTGGTCGGCGAACGCTAAAAGAACGCCACGAACTTCGTTTACGTTACGCGGAACTCTACCGAGAGGTAACTCTATCCCATTTACACTCAAAAATGACAACTACTCATTTCAAAAAAGTAGCAAAGTAAAATATACTCTCAATGCTTTCTTTCAGGATCTGGTGGACGTATTGAATGCAGAGTTGAGCGGGGATTTCCGCCAGCTCGCCAAATACCTCTTCTTTGGGCCTATCCAGGTGCTCGCCCTCCAATTGTATAAATTACTGAAAACAGAAGGGACAGCTGACACAGCTCTCATTGACATTATCTGTTGCTGCAGCCCGACCGACTTATCTGCTCTACAGAAAGTCTACAAGGAGGGTAAGTGCGCAGTGTTATAAGATCTGCCTTATGGTGTTCGATTATTCCACATGTAGGATTCCTTCGGATCCACAAGTTAGTAGATCGTCTACTGTACTGCAACAATTAAGGGATTAATTTGTGCTTTTAGCACCACAGTTTTAGCTAGTATACACTTCCCTAAATTGATGATATCCAATGTTAGTGCTTTATTCGAAGTTAGTTGTGCTGACAAGACGAAAGTTTTCCAAATCAGGTGTCAGGTAAGACAGAGTTGGTAGGAAGACCTTTTTTGTGCGTGGAAAGAGCTTTACAGCAAGCGCTGCCGGATGATCGCAACCGCCGCGTCTTTCAGACCAATTGAGAAACCGTACGAGTCCGCTGCTGCGAAATGTGTATTTAGTCGTATGTGGAGCGAATCAGGTAGAACGGCGCGCATCGATTGGCTCGAAGTAACGAACGCCTCAGGAAGCGAGTCGCCGGCAGAGTGTATGTCGGCCAGAACATCGCAGGTGTCATGCCTGGATTAAAAAAGACGCGCGGGTACGCAAAGGCTCGACGAGCAAAGAGAGGATGAGTCAGCACGGCAGTACTGAGTGCAGGCTGAAAGCGACGTGTTGGGACGCCGAAGGCACTGTCGGTACTTAAAACACATGAGTAGCAAACCGGTGAGGAAAATGAACATGACCTCCTCTATGGGGGGTATATACAGGGGGTGTAGAAGAGGAGTTGGGGTGTTCTATGGCAGAAGTGGTGGGATCGGGTGTAGTGGCAGGTTGCGGACAGGCGATAAGATGTAATAGGAAGAACGGGGGCATATCGCGTTGGGGGGGGGAAGCGAAACAGGGGGCAGATGGCCAGAGGGCTCGTCCGGTGAATTGTCCGGGACAGTAAATTTGAGCCGGTCAACTCTCACATCACGAGTGCAATGCTGGAGGCGGTGGGTTTTCGTTCCTCGACCCCAGCGTTGAAAGATGTGAGAGAATGTCGTCAAGTCTTTCTCGAGATACGACTGGGAGACAGAGAACAGGACAGTTTTTCTCAAGGCACTCTGACGTATTTGACAGTAGTAAAACAGTGGGCGAATACTCATTTTCGCCATCTGGGATTACGCGTTTCGAAGTGTTGCCGCAATTGCTTATTGTAACTTTTTAAATGGGGCAGATAAATTTTCTGTCATCGCCTTTATACAGCGAATTCTCTCTTCAGTAGGCTTGTTTCAAATTCTCGGAAATTATTTTCAGAGCTTTTTCTTAAGTGTATCTTCCTTTTTGCAATAGTCTTGGAAGCCAAAAAGGAAAATGGTGAGTTACAAATTTTGCATATCATATTTGATATCGGCCTTGACAGCTTTGGCAGCCAATTCACTAATGAAAACAAAAGTCATATATTCAGTAATTTTTGTTGTCTTATTAACTACTGTTCAAATAATCTGAGGAAATTTTTTGTGTAGATTCGTATTCAAGTTTTCTGCGTTAACCATGAAAGTCATTTTGAAATCGGCAGCACCAAAAGTGGACAATCACAAGGTTTGCCAAACTAGAGTTTCAGAAGGAGAACTGCGACACTGTTAATCTTCAGAATCTAAAATGTATCAAACTTAACGTGCTCAAAATAAATATTTACTATCAGACAAGAACTATTTCAGGAATATGGATATTATAACAGTCAATTAAGCTGGTTCAGATTAAGAGAAGAAAATAAGCCTTCATATTGCTTATTTGCCGTACGCAGTTTACTCTGCTACATAAAGATTCGAATGCAAACGTTTCTCTTTAGTCTCTTATCGTCTTTTTTTAAGATACGTCGCGAACTCTTGCGAATGATGTTGAGAAGAGAACTAACGGAACTCTCCGAGAATATATGATACTGTTTTTAAACACGGAGAGAAAAGCCTTTTCTTTTGCCCAGCTCCAAACAGCTGTCACTACTGCAGATTGGGATGTCCTGGTAAATTTCCAGGAGGCTGAAAACAAAGCCGAGCGCATCTTCTCTGCTGTGAACACGTAAGCATATTTGAAGCGCAAAAATGAGGGTTACTTGCTTTTTTGAGTAGTAACGGCATATTTATTTAAGGGACAAGCACGAAACGATTTGCGCCAGCTTACGGATTCAGATCACTTTTCCTAATTATTGAAATTATTTTCATTTGTTCTAATGCAGAAGGTTTGCTTCAACAAACATAGTTATACCGGACGCGTTAACTATCAGATGACTAAGCCTAACAATGAGGAAAGCTAAAATTCTTATTTGCGAAAGCAATTCATCTTTGTAGAATTCAGTATACATGTCAAAAGTTTCCAGCATAAATTTCGTCCTTGCTGCAGTTTCGGACCCGACCGCATGTGCTATCTACGTGATTCTTACATATTTTTATCATCAGCCTCCAGTGAAAACATTCAAAGCGTTCTTGGTATTACGAACATGCCTGTTTGTTCCTCTGGGGTGGTAATCCTGTGTTCTAGGACGCCAATGCTCAGGAATTACGTTACCCTACGAAGCCTGCATAGCCCAGTAGCTAATGTCCAAAATATTCCAATATGTCACCACTGGGGCCTCTTGTAAAGTGCAGTAAATCACATGTATACTGAGTTCTTAGGGTGTGCTAAAACCCATGCCTTTGAAGGTTGCCAACTGATGGGGATAAATCGAACTGTCCGGTCAGAAATGACATTCATTGGAGTCAGATATGGGCCCGTCTTCTCTCGATCTCAAGTAGGATTAGGGACCTGGATTTTTGTTATTCCGAGTAGAGCAGGTGTTTGAGGCTCGGAGCACGTCAATGCTTGTCCTAGTTGTTTCCTACAGTTTAACTTACTAGAGCTAGGATGCTTCTGTTAGAAGTGTCTTGCCTATACTAGAAGTGCTAGTTCTAGTAATCGTAGTTGCTAAAGCCAGTAAGTAGCAAGCTATCATTCGGCCTGGCCGTGCATGTAGGAAACTTTAACTTACTATGCAGTTGTAACTTATATGGGGGTGTTTAGTAAGCCAAATGGTTAAAGAAACCTGTATGTTTCATGGAAAGGCATCCTTTGGATGCCTTTCCATGAAATTACATTTCTTGGGATGCCTGCCTTTCGGTTTA